GTTTGTTGTGGTGATAAGACTAGGTGCTGGCACTAACGTAAAACATCAAAAATGTATCTACTGGCTTTCCTGGTGAAACAACCAAAACTATTAACCCTATTATAAACTATTAATGACAAAATAAACAGAGTAGGACAACTGTTTTGTGTTTCAGTGGACCTGGCTAACCCTCTGGAACACAACCCTACTTCAGCTCATGCTACATGCTACAGATCAGCCAACAACGGTTAACTTGAAATGATACATGAATAAAAACAGTATGTTCTGTAACTTACCAGAATGAAAATGCCGGGAACACACTCTCATGGACGCAGGGATTGAGTTGAAAGTTATATTTGGCCGTCTTACAGCAGCGACCCATGCTAGCCGGCGACTCTTTGTTATGGAGGACATTTGTTTTCCATTGAGACGCCTCCAGGTTGGAAAACGGTAAAAAGACAATCCATTTGGGATTTATTTCCCCGTCCAGTCACAGCTTGCGCTACTACACCCTACGACACAGCAACGGGCGACCATAACGACAGCAGAGGTAAAATGAAACGGCAAAAAACTAAGCAAACTACTAGCAGAAGAAAGCTAACAGTGGGCTGACCAGCTATCAATATGGCTGCCGCGCAACGTGTGACGTCATGTGCCCGAGCCTTATTGTGCCCGAGACAGAAAGGTCCATAAAAGTCCACAAAAAACGTTTCAATATTCCTCCATACTGCTCGTCCAATGTATTCCAAGTGTCCTGAGTGGGTAGCATCCAGAATTTACTCGAAACGAAGTAATTTAGAATGTTTTTAGAGCATAAACAGTAGTGTATAGGATTTCCTGAAAGCGCGCGCCGGCGAGTTCATGACGCTACGGAAACCGCGGCAGACCAAACCAGATGAAAGTGCGTATTCAGCTCGGCAAAGAACTCATGCTCTTCCTCAACACTGAAGTCCTCAGACATTTTTCTTTCGTTGTTTCTTTCTTTGCACAGGTAAACAGCACAGTTCTTCTTCTACGCTTGCATTATCGGCAGAGCAGACGCTGAATGCGCACTTTCATCTGGTTTGGTCTGCCGGCTTCCTTAGCGTCATGAACGCGCCGGCGCGCGCTTTCAGGAAATCCTATACACTACTGTTTATGCTCTAAAAACATTCTAAATTACTTCGTTTCGAGTAAATTCTGGATGCTACCCACTCAGGACACTTGGAATACATTGGACGAGTAGTATGGAGGAATATTGACACGTTTTTTGTGGACTTTTATGGACCTTTCTGTCTCGGGCACCATAGACCTCCATTATTTGAATGTCAGCAGACAGCAAGAAGCCTCCCAGATCTCCAGATGCATTTGAGATATCAAAAAAGTACTCCAGAGTGTTGTTCAGCATGGGGGTGAGTAGAAAATGAAGGCTAATCATGTTTTGGGTGTACTATTCCTTTAAAGGAGAAACTGCCTAGTCCCATTATTCAGGTGTCATTCTGACAACTGAATAATGGGACTTGTCCTTTAACACAAACTGTCAGCAAATTTCTATGGTTCTGGGGGTCCCAGCTTTGCACTCAGATACTATTATGAAACAATTATTATTTTTTTCAAATGTGTATAACCTTTTTGAAATCATAGGGTGATAAAAATGTTGTAAGAAGAGTTATATTTTGAGACTTTATGAAGATTGTTATGGGAACTGATGGGAAGGCTGTGTGAGATTTTAACGTGTTGAATGCGTTCGTCATGAGATCTATCAGTTTTCCAGAAACCAGGAAATTATTGAAAGGAGAAAATAACATAACCTCCTTATATTAATTTTGTTGTTGTTGTTGTTGTTGTTTTTAACGAAGTAACTTAGAAAAAACCTTTATTGATTTTGGACCTTGGTTATTCCCTTTTGGCCATATACTTTGCCAGTCTGCTCCTATACCGAAGCCTTGCTTTAAAATGGAATATTTTGAGCTGCTGCAAGAACCTATATTCTGCTAAATTTAACAAACTGCTTAGAACGGTCTCTAAGCAGTTTGTGAAGGATATGAAGGATATATATTTAATCTATATATAAATGCATCAGCAATAGCGGAGACGGCCAACACTCTTATAAATGTTTAGTGACATCACTGTGAATGATTAGTATATTTCCTTGTTTAAATGGAACACAAGAACCAAACTAATTCCACTACTGGTAGGGCAATAGAGGCAGAATTCTCATCTTCATCCTTCGCTTTATAGAACTTTGCTACAAGGTTTTTGTCAGGGTGCAAAGATGAGGCAAGATACATCCTTACTAAATTCTAAAGGTATTTTCCATCATATTATCTGTCATAAAGCCCAGTTATATATGTTGTTGATAGAGCGGTTTAGTTGGAATCACCATTTATGTCCAAAATGCAAACATTTGCCTGGGATTTGTGAAGAATTTGGTCATAAATCGTGTTCTACTTTATCAATGCAGCAAATGTTTAATAATGATAAGCTTATAGGATAAAGAAAAAGGGAAAAAATAAAAAGATTTGCTGAAGGTATTGGGATTCAGAAGCTTTAGAGGTGGACATTAATTCAGTGTTATGTGATATTTTTGGACAAAGAACAGTAATCTCACTCTGTTATTGTTTTTGCTCCAGGTTTGGCTGATTCTGACTTGTTTTTCTTTAAAAGCTAAGCCTGTGTTTTTCTTGCTTGTGAGAACGTCCAGCTGTGGTTAAGCTGAGCCTTTCTCACTCCCACTGACCTTGGACTGTTCACATCTCTGATAGATTTCTCTTTGTAATGCTTGTTATCCTCCTGTGCTCTTTTTTCTATTTTTGCCCTTTCTTTGAGATGGAGCTGCCAACATTTTACTGCTGTTTGTAAGAAATAAATTGATTGTTGTACATTTTGTTTAAAATCCCTCAAGTCACATTTACATGTTTCTGCACAATCAAGGAAAAATATGTTTCTTTAATAGACCAACTGTTTATTACAACTAAAAATCCACACAAAAGAGGAAATGTAAACTGATATATCTATCAGGGGTGTCTGGAATGTCTTTCATTTTACTCAAAGAATACCTTACACAAATACCTTAGGTTGTTAAGTAGCTCTCAATTGTGTTAGGGCTGCTGAGTTGTGCAGTCATCTTCTGAGATTTCAGTATTAAAGTTCTTAAAACACAAAATATTCTCAGCTGTAGGAATTGCTAACATAGGGTTATGTTATTAGGTTATACAGTTATAAAAAGGCGAGGGGGAAACTTGTATTCAATGACAGCCAATTTTGCAACAATGTTATGTTTTAAATGAAAACAAGCATTTAGATAGTGTTAGATTTGTCATAATGTTTACTTGGAACAGGCAGTAATAGCTATGCTTGAGGATTCCTGGGTTAGTGTTGATGTCTACAGTGTGACAGAAATCAGGAAAGTAAACAATTGAGAACAACATGTAAGGGAGCTAGGGTGTAGTAATTGTGCTTTATTGTTTCGTTCTTTTTTCTGTCCAAATCCCTATCACCAGTGCTGCGTCATGTTTATGGAATTATACAAAGTTGTTTCGGCTTGTTAGATCAGACGTGGCTTGCGTGGTGTACCGATGTCCGTACCTTGCACTCAAGGGTATCACATAAATTCTTGGTTTTGAACCGGGCCTGGTGTTCCCACATCATGACGATCAGAGGCGAGGCAACTTTAACACTGGTCGCTTGGCGAGTTGTTTGACCCTGGTAGACAAGCGCCAGTGAGCTGTTCCCACAGCTACTAAAAGTTGATTAGTCCTGGGTTGAAACCGGATTTTTGGCCAGTCAGAAAGGGGTATTTGTGTCCTCCAGGCAGTCTGAGAACCGCCATAAAAACAAGGATTCATTTACAATCAATAGAGATGAAGGCAATAATGCAAATACTTAATAAAGAAAAATAACTACAAGCAAAGGTTGAAAAAAAGGTAAAAATGAAAAAGAAGTTAAATCAAGAAGATGTGATTTCCATGATTTAATCATTATTATATCTGAAAACATTGACTTTGTCAACACTTTCCTGAAAAACCCGTGGATAGATGATAGGGAAGAACTTCAAACTGCTTTCACCAACTCATCACTTCTGTTTGATCTTGAATACTGAGAATCAAGGTCATCCCATTATAATCTAACACATCATATAACTTGGTATAAGGAGTATGGTGATGACCCATAACATGATGCTGCCATCACCATACAGGTTAGAGGATGTACCCAATATGAAGAGCAGTGTTGGCGAAAAAATAACTTTTTTTTTGGTCCTATATAACAAGGCCACCTTTGTCCAGCTTGTATGTGGCCTTCTTCTGCCAGATTTGTGGACTATACAGAGGCAGCAAAAGTGAAATTTCCATCTGGAAGACTCTTATCAGGTTGTATTTATAATTATTCCACTATTTGATTCCAAATATTCAGAGTAAAGGGAGCTAAACACAAATGCAGCCCACATTTTTTACATTTGTATTTTATTGTTTTTCTTAAAATACTTAATTGCTTTGTGTTTGACGAAGTGTTGTTCTAAAACATAACGTTTTAAGGGAGAACTTTAAGGAGTATATCTTGATTACAACAAAGTTAAAATGTTATAGGGGTAGAAAGGCTTTTCCTGTGTGTTTCAAGTTTTCAGTTTTGCCCCAATAGTTGTAGAGCTTTTTGTTGATTCATAATGCCAGAAAGATATCCAAATGGAAGCTTATTCTGTAAAACATACTTTTACCTTCAGTTCACCTTTAAGGCGTCTTAAGAAGATGATATTGTCAATGTTTAGTAAGTCACGGTGCTTCGCATTTATCTCCAGTGACTTGAAAGCATTCCTTGCTTCACTGTTTTGAAGCAAAAGATCACAACTGCAGTTCGTCTCGATCCTGCAAAAGTTCAGTCATTCCTCACAGGCTCTTTAAGCGTCCTGGAAACTTATTTCACCTTTTTCTTCCACAGTGCCAACCACTACTTTTGCCTTACCTCCCCCCTCCCCTCCCCATACCCGCCTCCCTCTTTCTCCTCCCCCTTTTCCATCTATCAACCAGTACACATTCTCTCTGCTCTTACACATATTCTCAATGGTGTAGTCACTGCTTTCTGGTTAGACCTCCCCAAGGAAAGAACATGAGGAAGTGGGGGTTATGGCAAGCTTGTCAGAATAGACCTATGGGAACATAAGAGTGGCTCCTCAAGGGTCTGCCCAGCTCTCTATTCTTACTGGAAAAAGCCCAGCTGTCACTGTTTTGCCATGATCTCAGTGACACTGTTTAAGCAACACAGATATCTGTTTTCCACTCATCAGGTAAGTCTTTTTGTTTTCCTTTATTTTTACACTGATACATTACAAGGAAGAATTCACTAAAAATCCTCATATTCTTGTTTTCCAATCTTACCTGGCTGAGGTTTAGCATTATATGCTATATGGTGTTTTTACATGAGGAGACATGTTCAGGACCTTTCTGCTGAAAATTGAACTGGAAGCTATTCTAAGTAAGTTGTGGTCTGGCCTTGGCAGTCAACACACATTTTCATCCTGTGAATTCTTGTTTTCCATTTCATTTCACTTCACATTCATGTCAGAATAACACAAGCTACTTTGCATATGTAGTTTTCTTTTTAACAGGGGGGTTTCTTAGAGGGAACTCTCATTGCTTGCACACTTCAAATTCCCTTGTGCAGGGGCAAGTTTTTTGTAAAATGGATGTTTGTTTACTTCTTTTGCAAAGCAGCAAAAATGCCATTAGATTAGACACATATTTAGCACAGTCAAAATACGTTGTGCTTTGGTTGTTTTAGAGAGTAAAATAATAAATTAGTTTTAATGCAAGTTTGTTAGGGCTGCACTACTGGAAATTCTATATTGTTTTCTAATGGAACAATAGTGCAAAAAAAAAAAAATCACATTTTTATTGGTACTTATTTCCTTCATGTTAACTTTAATTCAAGGGATTATATTATAGGATAAAAATCTTATTTTATAGGTTTTGCAGTTAAAACTTGAAAAGGTAAACTTTGGTAACAAGTCTTTTTTGAACTCTGTATACTCTGGAAGTCTCTTGTCCTCTAATCACATCTCAAAATGTTCTCTGAGAGTTGTTTGTGGTTGAAAAGATGATAAACATCTGCACAGCTGAGATAGAGGAACTCAGTGTTTGATTTTCCACCCGTACTTTGGATGCCTCAGAAAGTGTCAAAGGTGAGTTTTTAAAGAATGGCCTAATTGAGGGGTAAGGTTGATGTTAGTTGTAGCCGACCGGGGACATCTTCTGCTCTAATTAATGGTGTAAAGTGTTGTAAATCACCCGCTGTGTAACAGCAGTAAGATTCCTCTATGTAGTGATGTCACCGCTCATATGTGAAGCAGATCCAGACTTGAACAGTTCAGCCTGAGCCAGATGTTGAGTTTAATTTCCCTACACACTCTTGGCTACATTGGGATGTAATCAAAAATGTCCAGGGATGCACTTAGATTTTTTTATCCTTTATAAAAACTGAGACTTTGGTAATAATAAAAGTGATAACTGTTGGAAACATTTGAGGATTAACAATACATAAAAAATATTTACATCCCCTTAGCTTGTTTGACACATTACAATCACAAAATTCAGCAAACTGTCTATGGACTTTACAAGACCCACACAAAGAAGTGTTTTATTATGAAGTTGAAGGAAACAGATGAATCCTTTCTAACATTAGAAAATAAAAATCTACCTTTATATACAAACATTTTAGTTCAAAGAAGGATCTGCAAAGTTCTGAACATATACAAATTATATAGAAAATGACATACTGGGCATTTGAAAAGGTTAGAAAGAGAACTAAACGACTACTTTGGCAAATAAATGTTTTAAGAAGATCCTGAAACTGAACAGCACAACAAGCCTATCTGACATGATCATTTCCAAACTTTAATACGGCTATAGCGGCCACCTTATAGTTTACGCATGTTTAAGTATGCTGTACTTTTATACCAATTTCTACTCTTTGATACCCTAAATAAAATCTAGTTCAACCATTTGTCTGATTTAATAGATTATGTCCCCCTTCATGTAATGATAGGTCAGCAAATACATCTGTTCACTATATGGGGGTTAGCTAAATTAACATTAGAGAAACCTGAGTGATGCTCAGAACATCTAACAGAGATCTATTTGATCCATTTTATGAAAATAGAGGATGGCCCAGAAAATATAAGCTATCCAGCAAAACTGAAGGGTTGAGCAAGGAGAGCATCATTCAGAGAGGCAACCAAGTGCATTGCAATCCTGAACGAACTGCAAAGATCCCCATGTTTACTAAATGAATCCGTCCAAATCTTTTTTCAAGTACATTTCACTTTTTTAGATTTAACAAAACCAAAATGTGAATGTTGTTACATTGTTAATTTTGTGCTAACTTTTCTACATCTTCTTTGTGAGGCCTCCGCAAAAGTAATACAAATAATCAAATCGTTAAAATAGTAGTTCTTCCTGATTCACATGTGTTGGCAATTTAAACTTGTACATTGTCTTTTTTATATTTAAAGCAGGATTTTTATGAAATCATTTAAGAACAATCAGGGGCCTCATGTGGACACCCCTAGCTTAGATGAAAGCATTACCATGCCTTATCATGATGTAAAAAAAAAAACCAAAAAACTATTCTTTTCGTGACTGTGGTGGTTTGTCACATAAAATCCCAATTAAAATAAAATGCAATATATGTTTACTCTGTAGGATATTGCAGATATTTTTAAAAGTCATGTATCAGTTCTGTCAAGATGATTTTTAGGTTTTACAAGTTTAAAAAAGTCTCTCATCTTTTTTATTTCTTTTTCTTTTAGGCTATCAAACTGATTGTATTTCTGATTAAAAAACATGGCCATGTTCCATACAAAGCACAAATACCTGTGGATTTACGTTTTGAACTATGAGTAATTAGAAAACAAAAAAAACATGGAGACTGCATATGGGACGAGTTTGGAAGAACATCAGGCACCTGTGGAAATCTTGACCTTTTCGGCAAAAAAATCCTCTACAGGAGGAGAGAATGCTTCAGTAAAACCATGTCATCTTATGTGTGACCTTATCCCTTTAGAGATAAGGCCACAGTTGGAGCCAGATGGGGATATACGTAATCTGAAGAAAAGCTTTACATTTGACCATTATAACACTATAGAACTAAGTGAGTCTGCAGGGCCTAAACAGGTCCTTGCTAGTGCAGCTCCTGGTACTTCTCAGGTTCTTGCAGAAAATGATCTCTCCATATCACCATCATCAAATGAAGGCTGTTGCTGTAGCCCTTTACCTTCTGCTCATGCAGCAGAGAGTCAGTTATCCCAGACAGATCAAATTCAGCCTCATCATTCAATAGACTTTTATCCTGGATGTGTACAAAGACGCTTTAAGCCATGGGAGCCAATTTCAAATAGATCAATCATCAGTCAGACATGTGCATCAGCCATTGAGATCCCTGCTGACCTGCGTCCAAGAATCTTAGATTTACCACACATTGTGAAGCAAAGACCAAGCACTATCACCTTCTCAGACAGCACCGAATCATCCTTCATCAACAGCCATGCTTCTCGCAATGACAGCTCTGATAGTGAAGAATCTTCAGAGGAGGAGAAAGAGAAGGGTGACTCTAACCATGATGATTACGGAGATGGAGATGATGTTCACATCGTCCTTGAGTGGGCTCACAGTAAACATCTCCCCATGGCTAAGAAGAAACAGAGGAAAATGGATTGCATGGATTCATCAGATGAAACACACAGCACCTGCGGTTATGAGGCAGAGGAGGAAATAAGCAGCAAGGAGGTATGCTTATACGGTGGCCATGGGTGCAAACGCTGTACAGATACATAAAAACAGCTAATTAAAAAGGTTCTACAAATACAAAAATACACAAACACTCAACGAACATGTAAAGAAAGAAAGCTGCAAAAGAGAGATGATGCAAACAATAAATAGATAAATATAAAATATATAGAGTGAAAACAAAAGCCATGAGCTGTGCCTATACATCCTCTTACTCAAAAGATTGTAGGAATCTTTGTGGCTACCAAGTACCAGCTAGGAATGTTGGGAGCTCTCTATGCTAAATGAAATATGATATGAAGCATGCAACTTGCTTTAGGTTTTGCAACTTGCGGCATTTCCACATGTGTTGTACGCTAACATCATTTATGTGTCCCAGTGGGTTTTGCATTTGTTTGCTCTCTATTATTTATAACTGTATTTTCGCTGCATTTTTTGCTTTGCAGCTTTTTCCTTTGCGTATGTGCTTTGTGTCTTTGTAGAACTACATGTATCTGCTGCACATCTATGTTGTTGCATTGCATTTGCACCAAATGTACCTTAAACAACAGTAGTTCACACTTTTTCTCATTAAATTTACAGTGATTTTATACTATATTATTTAATATATACTATTTGATTTATCATTTAGACATTATTAAAATTAAAAACAAATAATTAATGCAAAATTTGATCCATGAGTTTGATGTAACTTTTATTGCTTCTTAGAGAGATATATAAAACATAGAAAAGTGCAGGAGTGCACAGGCTGACCATTTGTAAGGCATACATAGATCCAGGAGGAATTCAGACAGCTTCTGCTTTATTTCCCCTCCCTTAGCTGTGGTTTTAGCTTGATAGACCAAATCGGACTAACATTACTGTTGAACTTCACCTTCCATTTCTAACTGTCTTCCTCCTCTCCTCCCTTTTTCTTTGAGGTGTTTCTGTGTGTCCTTTTCACATGACCTCCACTCCTGTTTTTTATTGCCTGTTTAAAAACTTACATAAGCTTTCAAAAGTCTACTGTAATCCATTGTATATTTGCTTTGTTATGCATTGAGGGAATAAAGCCAACATCACATACCTGTCATACTTTTCATAGCAGTCAAACATAATGCATTGGTGTATTGGTATATATTAACCTCTTTGGCTGGTGCTAGGACATCCAGATAATACTGGCTTTACATGCAGAATGACACTCCGCTCTGAATGGGTTGTTTTGGAGAGAGTAGCAAGAATGCAGAGAATCCAGGGAGTGTGTTGTAAATATTATCCAAAGGAGTGCAGTAAATGCTCCCCATGCCATCAAACCACAAATCTTTTTATTGCTTAGTAGAGTGACATGCAAAGCAAAAGTGGACACATATAACAATCATAACATTCCTGTATTTTTTTTTTTTTTAAAACAGCTACGTTATTTCCTATTAAAAATTAAGACTTAACCTCAAACAGGCTTATAGTGATTCTGGAGACGCAGAAAATTCAGAGCTCAGATGAGAGATTCTGGACAGGTAAACTTTCCCTTTTGCACATGTTGAAGGTCCTCTAATCAGATAAGAGTTAAATGAAGTTTTTCATCTCCATGAAAAACCAAGGACACAAATATTTCCCAGTTAGTTGGAAGCCAACTGGAAGTTGGAAGTTAGATGGAGCCAAAAAGCTGGAAATGTTGGAAGAAAATGGGAAAAAATTACAGTTAGTGCTGCAAATAAATTATTTAAATCTAAGGATAATTACTTTATGGATCAAAATGGCCCAGTAAATGTCAAGGCATAAATGCAATTTATGTGGAATTACTCTTAAAAATTCAGGGTTTATAATTGATTGTCTTTAATAATTTTTGGATGTCTCTAAATTGAAGGAATAATTGTCTTTACAAAAATATTCTTTCGGAGGATCATGAGACACTCTGATATGAAAGCCATAAAGATTATATGAACACAGTTTTTATAGTTTTAAATGCAGAAACTCAGGGATACCTAATGCTTCAATCATTTCTGAAACAAGCTGTGGATGCATTTGTTAACCAAGTGAGGGCACTATATGCACAAAGTTCAAAGTCTCTCATCTCATGTGTCTTTACTGATGAACTCACATATGTCAGAAGGCACATTTGACCAATATATTTTATTCCTTCCACCCCAACATGCCCATGTTCTCATCCTGATTTGTACTGTAGACTATTAGCAATGTAATTTATTCCTTCGAGCAGCCAGGTAGCCCATGCCCTTTTCGCATGACCGGTTGCTACTTTGGGATACCTCCATGGTGATCTCTGGCACTCTCAGTGGGTGGCACAGACTAGGCAGTGAGCCCAGAGCTCACACACTTAACTCCTCATTTCCATCTCAAAGCCCCAATGTTGGGGCTCCACAATGTCTCCAAATTGTGCTGATAAAGTTATAGTCTGTTCACTTTGTGTCATCCCTTAAAGATAACATGGCATCTAACTCATGGAATGACTTACTGCAGCTCAGTTCCCATGGTGGTGAGCGTTTATGTAACTCCCAGGGCCACATTTAGAGGAAAGGGAATGAAGAAATGAATTAAGTGACGATTCTCACTTGAGCGTCAATGTGCCCTCTGGAATTTGTCTCATTCTGAGGGGAAGTGTCCGCATTCCCAAACAGCACCTTGAGGGGATGTCACTACAAAGACACTTTGTGACTATGTCCCAGACTTTGCATGAGTGAAAGCCAGAAAACAGGGCATCTGTTTCTTGCATTTCTGCTCGTCTAACACGAGGGGGTAATTAGCAGTCCGGCTCACAAGATCCTCAGCTTCCTTTTCTTATATGTTTTTGGCCTAAACAGTTGAGCTTTTTTCCCCCGATTAATGGTTTAGCGTCTGTTTCTATTTTAGTGTCTTCCTCTTGAATTAAACAATCTTAATAGATAATAAAAAGTGCTAAAGTGTCACTTAAAATCAAAATAAATGAATTTCCCTCTGCTTCACTTCTAGCTGGCATAGTTTGTTCTTTGTTTTTTCATCAGAGGAATCTCCTTGGTTTGTAAACCAGAGATAGCGTTCTGAACTGTCTAAACATATGAATACATGAATGAACATCTTATATTCACAAGAAAAACAGACAGCAAAATTGAGAAACTTAAATTTTCTTTCCTCTTGATGGCCCAGAGTAATCCTTTAGACCTGAGAGGGCACCAGAGAAGCAGACAAATTTAGAGCATTCCTTGGGATTGAGTGGAAGGAGTTACTTTCTCCCAGATCTCGCTCAGTCAGCTGACCCTGGGTGGTAATCGGGATGAATGGTGCCTGGTGTCTGGTCTGTAATGCACCCACAACTAGAAGATAATGCAAGAAGACCATGTGTAACAAGATTAAGAAGTATAATATGGTTAAGACTTGCAGCATAATCAAGAGTGATTTGCAGCTTGGGAAAAATTGTTAAAAAATGCTTTGTTAAAGCAGTATGCACATTTATTGAGGCGTCCAAAGATACAAACCGTGGTCCCTTATGTAGCTTTTTGTACAACCTCGTTATCCTGCACACATTTACACTTTTGGTCATTTATTGAGACGTCATATTCTTAAAAGCACTATCTCAGGAGTGAGTATTATTTTTTCATGATGGGGCAAATATAAACATATATATATATATATATATATATATATATATATATATATATATATATATATATATATATATATATATATATATATATATACTGTTTTTCGAATGCAACAATAAATAATAATGTTTCTGAAAAGCTTAATCCATTATTTCAATCCAAAAAGTTCAATTCATATTTAATATTGATTTGTTACACCATTGAAATCCACGTTCTGTTTCTTGACACTCCATCAGACGCTCCTCTGGCTGTGATTGGTTGTTTTGACTCGTCCCGAATTATTCTTTCCAGATTGAAATACAGGCAGTAGGCGGTACCAATTGAAGCTGTTTTTTTCACAGGTTACATATCACATGTACTGCTGTCTGGGCATAGGGACAGTTTTAGCCAATATGACAAAAAGTGATTTTTAAAAACTTACAGACTTCAGCTTTAAAGGGGAACACCATTTTTTTTTTTCATTGGCCCCTTGATTTGACGTCATTACATCATGTTCTACTCACTAATATGAGTTTTGTGTCATTTGGAGCTGTTGCGAAGATATTCGGTTTTGTAATCCAAGTAACGTCTTCCGATGGGCAAAGAGTTGAAGGCACAAACTAAACTGTTCATAATTTATTCTTTATGGTACGCCAGCATTTATAACACGTAGGCGAATCACTGTCCCCCAGACATCCGCGTTTATATTTTTTATATTTATATTTTTTGAAAACAAAGCGGAGTGTATATGACGTCATCCGCACAAGCCGGCTACCATTTATTCATCCTGTCCGCTGAACAGCTGCTAGTTTTACTCACATGCCTGGAAGATGTCTAGTGCTACTACCACAGATGATCTCACTCTCAAAATGGAATAGAACAATTCAGATTAGCTAGCCGAATGTATAGAAGGTGTAGAGAGTAACCACCTGTGGCCCAGGCTGCCTGTCACAATTCCAGTCCGGCGCGCGGATGACGTCATACACACTCATGTCACTCATGTAGGAAAAACTCATGTAGGAGACCCTGAGGACCAAAAATAGATGATTAATAACCCTTTGTAGCTCTTAAAGGATGCTAAGAAAACAAATAAGTAATTTCCTTTAGGTGCGTTAATTCAGTGACACCTTATTGGTTGTTTCCTAACAATCTTGGTCTAGATATTTATGAGGAATTTGGGTGTTTAAAGAAACCACTATAAATTGGATTGTTGTCGTACATTGAAACAGAATTAAAACTGGATTTGCTTATTTTAATTCTGAACTAAACATATCTGACTATTTGTTTTCTTTACAATTGATATGCTTGAAAATCTGATGGTGTTACAGCAGGTTGAACAAAACAAAACAGGAAGAGTTCTTACCTGCTTAGACTTGCCTTCATTCTTGATCTTGATTGTGGGCTACCCATCCAAAACCCATATAGATTTAGTCTACCAAATGTATGAAATTTGATTTAGACCTACACAGTCTCATTAATGGTTAAGTTCATGTTGGATCCTGCTTATAATGAGATTGAAGGAAATAAAAGTTAAGATCCTCTACCCAAAATGTTTTTAATCCAGATAGCCTTATGGAAATTGCTTTTAGTAAATCTGAAATTAAATATGTTCTTTAAGAAGTAAATTCAGATTAGCAGTGGCTCCAGAGTGACAATACAAAGGCTGATATCTAATGCATTTTATATATCAAAGACATAAAACTATTGCAGTTAAAACATACATGTTAAATTAAACTTTACACATCTTTGACAAATATCTCACTGACAGATGGGATTGTGAAATATATTTGGAAACCATAGATAATATTGTAATTCAGTATGAAAAATATAGGATGAGAAGACAAAAAGAATAAAGCAGAAATTTAAAGTAATACATCAAAAAGTGAAGAGATAAATATTGAACTTGAAATGACGAATAGAGTATTTATTCGATACTTAAGAAAAACAGCATTATTGCAAAAAAAAAAAAAAAAAAAGACGAGGAGAAGAAGAAGATTTACTGGAGCAGAGACATCTAAGACATGAAAATCAAGTGACCCATGTGTCCCTTAATCAGCAACCTCTATATTAAATGGCACCTCAGTAGGGAAACACAGTCTGTTTGCCTCCATGTCAGCTGTAAGCCCCATCCCAAAAGTGAGCAGAAATAAAGTCTTACTATATATCACGATGTGTCTAATGATTCTAAAACATTTTTGAGTTTGAATTTAATTAAAATAAAAAGATAACTAAAATGTAATGTTCTTAATGTGTATGCATAGGCAGAGTTCTTTTACACTGGCTCAAAATACACTTACCACAAACTTTGAAGAAAAAAAAGCTCATGTCCAACACAATAACATATAGCAGCACTCAAAGCTCAGGACTCCCAGAATTAGTGGGGAGCAAGTTCTTCCTTTCTGCTCAATCTTAACCCGCTAAAAATGTAGGCATCTTCCTGTGCCAGCAAGTCATTGAGATCTCTGAAGACTCTCCCCACTAATTCCTCCTTTGGAGAAGTCCTCCAACAGGGCCAAGGCTGCCATGGTTCCACAATTACACAGCACCTTTATGCAGCTATTTATGGACATGCATGATTGTCTGCAGCTGTTTATCCTTCTGAATCATCACATCTGATGATACATCTTTTTGTAATAAATTTGTGCTTGCTGCATGGGTCAATGCACATTTCTATGGCCAAAACAGAAAAATATTGACAGTTTAGACTGCATTAAAGTTGTTTCCGTTATTAGTTGAGGTTTGTTATGTCATTGTAAAGCTAAATGTGATGTGGATTCATTTTTTTTATAATATTTTAATTATAATATTTTTTAGCTTTTTGCTGCTACACTGTTTCACAACATGTTCAAAAGATCAATATTCATTGTTGTACATGCTGATAACCTCTTGTTGTAGTTAAGCTATTTTTTTACACCTACAGTGGTGTAAAAAACTACAGTGGTTGGAGTAAAAATAAATAAAACTAAACTACTTTTACTCAATATTATCTTTAAAACCTTATAGATAGATAGATAGATAGATAGATAGATAGATAGATAGATAGATAGATAGATAGATAGATAGATAGATAGATAGATAGATAGATAGATAGATAGATAGATAGATAGATGCTTTTTAATGCAGCAAAGGATGGATGCACATGTTTTCAAATATTCCCACGGTAATCTTTAAAACCAAAAGGAAAATGATTCCCTACTGCCTTCAAACTCTTGTTGAAAATAGAAACACTGTGTAAAAACTGTATGCAGTTATTGATGAATACTGAATTAAATTATTTGCAGTCAATTTCAGGCAACCAGTAAAAATACTACACAAACACTAGAAAACTGTCCTTTTCCCAAAAGAATTAGTTGTTACTGTAAATTGAACTCTTGCTATGTTTGCATGACCTCTCTTATCTGATCTTCTGTGATTACCCACAGGAGTCTCCGCAGGTCACATCACCATGGTCTGAGTCAATGAGACATCTCATGAGGAAACTGGACCAGCTTAATCAGGACATAGAGGAAGCTCTGAGTGCAGGTTCATCACCCTCTGACACACCTTGCATTTCCCGCAAGGTACAGGTGATAATTACATATATACTGTTGTGCAAAGTAGTTTGCCTTATGTTTTAAAAATACATGGCCCATTGATAATATCATACACTCATTAACGGTGAATAAAGGCCCCTATTATAATAAATGGTCAGATCTCCAAGGGCTAAATAAGCATTGGGGCATCACCTTCAAAGTTTTCCGGAGTGCAGACTGTCACGGTTGATGCTGTACACATTGCTGAGAAACTCTTGCTGCATACTTGGTCACGGCTTTTAAACTTTCTTAAATCAATTTAGTTTGCTCTTCAGAGAGAAAATCCAGGCGGATTATCTAGAACTGCAAGCAGCTGGTATTTGGAATTTCTTGTCCATCTGAATTTTTTTTACAAGTTTTCCACATGTTATTGAGTCTAATAAGATCTCTAAAATTAAATAGCAATAACTTATAATCCCAGTAGATGTTCTCTCTTGTGGGCTGTATGACTTCTGCAGCACGGGGGTACATTCTGGGACAAAATAACATTTTGTCCAGCTACCAATATCTGACTCTCTCAGTGTGTTTTAGGTTGTAGACCATCGATCAGCAAGATGTTTAATAATCAACTCTAAAGCTGGACGAATACAGAAAGAACAGATTTTTTATTGTACTTTCACTTATACAACAGAGGCAATGCAACTGTATTCCCAAAAAAGGCCTATTCTCATGGTGCCATGTTCTATGAAAGATCTCTCCAGACATAGCGTGCAGGAACAAAAGTGGCCTTCTGAGCTCCTCATGTGTACTGCACAGAGGAGCTGTTGTGTTTGAAAGGAGTTTGTATGATTTGGTCGATTAGGAATGGTTGAGAAAGGCTTGCATGCCTCCTAGGCATCTGCATAACCATTCCAGGCATTCACTATGACCTGCTTCAACTAATGGCAGGCAAGTGGCCAAGATAGGACATCTTTACTGGGATATTTGACAAGGTCATAATCTCTGTTCTCTCAAAGGAAGATCTACACATACAGCCTTCTTTGTGCTGCTCTGCCAAGCTGAACTGAATGTGGAGTCTTCACTTCCCTAACCACTGACCTCAGCCTGTTGTTTTCTTTTCCCCGTGCTGCTGTTGAGTTCATCCTGTCCTCATTGGTTCGTCCACACAAAGACGGAGCCCGTCTTGATTGTTGTTGTGATGTTGTTGCAGTGTGGTGCTGCTTCAAAGTCCTCAACAAACCAAACCCAGAATGACACAGATCTTCACAGAACAGACAGAAGGGAATGTTGGATCCAAGACAGATCATCTGCTTCTAGCAGCTCCTCAAAAGGAACAAGAGCAAGAAATAAGAAAACAGTAAGTTTATCTTAAAATGCTATAACTCTTTAAAATTCGAAATAAACAAGTAATTTATCAAGCTTTTCAATTGATGTACCGGTAGGTTATTGGTATTCATGCCTTGCTGCCACTGCCTGTTTAAGACCCAACGGCTTTTTGAGCTTTGCCTATTATGTTTTGCTGAAAATCCTTGTGTAAAACAAATTTGAAAAGAGGGGCAAATAGCCTAATCAATAAACTGTATTCTCCACGACCCATTGAACATCGTGTTTTAAATAGTATATATCTATATCAGGATTAAAAGTGTGTAACATCTAGTGTTCTTCTATGTGTAGCTCAGTATGTGTTTTTATGCTATGGCCCCAAGTGGACAGATAATGATTTGTTAAATTAATCCAAATGTGAGCCAGTTCAAGCATAAATCATACCGAGGTGAGTAACTCCTCATTAGAGCTGACAGACTCTCTGCATTACATAGCATGAGATTATGAATGGGGGAGGGTTAGCCTAAGAAGGTTCCAAATACCCGGTTCGATCCCCACATTCTCCACTCTGGGTTCCTGAGCATTCACTTAACCCCTGTTTGTTTCACAAGTGCCACACAATGGCAGCCCACTGCTCCCCCAGGGGATGGGTCAAAATGCAGAGAGTGAATTTCGCCATTGTGGGACAATAAATGTCTAAATATTATTTCGTGATTGCTGCACATTTGAATATCACTTGCATTGTTTATGTGTAAATGGCATATATTATTGTTATAAAATCCTACGAGTCTCAAATTCCAATCCTGGAAGACTGGTCTCCTGCACCATTTAGATGCATCCCTGGTGCAATGCTCCCGAATCGAATGGCTGTGTGACATACTTAATATAATGCAAGGAATCCTGGGTAAAGCTCTAGGGGAAAAAAGTCAAAAAGAACTTGACAGAGTTTGACAGTAGGATCTGAAAAAGGACTGAAATGACATCAGAAGTAAAGTTAGGTGATTTCAAAATAGGAACCAGATGAATGATTAACTAATGCAATGCAGCTGTGAGAGCTACAGTAGGAGTGCAAGTGCCGAATAGATACAGGGTGATCCAGTGAAACAAAGGCACAAACGTTTAGAGGTAAAGAGCACAACCAGTCACAAGAATGATCACAGCTACTAAACACTATACTACAGTTAAACACAACATTACAAAACAGGAGACTATATTGAATACATATATTGAGGAAAGATATTTTTCACAATAAAACAGGCACTAAGTAAAAACTATGTCATAATATAAGTACATGGAAATTCAAAACAGGAGCAATACTATGCACAATTAGCATGTTTATGTTTATGGGTTATGAACTTTTTTGTTTGCTTACTTCTTATTTTTACAAAAAAGAACTTTCTCAACCTTCATGCTGTTTTATATCCGTATCAACAATAATGGGCTGTTTGTGAAGATTATGACCCCTGAAAAGACCCCCCATCCCCAGCAATACCGTCCTTACTGGAGTGCTGTTTAGATTTGCGGACATTTACTGCAGTACTAAAGTGCACATGCTTAAAAACCCTGAAATCAACCAAAAAAAAAATTATAAAAATAAATACAGAAGGTCATATGTGACAAAACCAAAATTAGTCTAAATAAACCAAATAGAGAATCAAAGTACTTTTTTCTTCCCATCTGGCTATAAAATATTAGAATGGTAAAGAACTAGCATGTGAGAATGCTTCAAACAAAATTTTTTCCATGTTAGGCCTCAACAACAAGTTCAAATGCAGTGAAACTTGATTCTCCAACAATATTTCACTTTTCTCTTCTTGGAACCGACCCCCACACTTGGAACCTAGAACCCCCACACAACACAGCACCAGTTACAACTTGGTCTTGGAACGGCTGAGAATCTTCATAGATGTTGCAGATATCAATGTTTCCTCTGCAGGCTAGCCTTACTTACAAGGTGCAATCATTTTCAGTGGTGGTGATAGTTTTTTTTGTAGTAATGAAACTGATATATGTTTGTTTAACCATCGAATTGTTGAAGGAAAAAAACCTCCAGGAATCAAAATGTGATTGCCTAATTACTTACCTGTATAGCCTATAGAACATCTGAAAGCAGTTTGTGATAATTTGATCTTTTAATCTTATCACAGTCTTAAATTCCAAGAAGAAAGGATGTGCTCAAACCTGGAGAAATGACCTAAAAAATGTTAAAAACATGTTTTGGAACACAAAGTTTTCTGAAGTTTGAAATCTGAAATTTATCTCATATTCTGCCCGTAGGACAGCTTCCTAACATGTCGAATGTTTTTGTGATGATAAAGATTGGACCTTGCTGAGGGAAGATGCAATACATACTAAGTCTTGTTTACTGCTTAAACTAGGACATACAGAGAGAATACATTATGACCTTTAAATAGCAGGAAACATCCTGAAAGTTGTATTTTTAAACACTGGGCAAAGAGACACATTCAGGAATATTAAATCAGATCTTAATTGATAATATTGTGCTTTTTATTAGTCTAGAAGATTTCTAGATTATATCAACTACTTCAAACGTAAGTGCATTTTTAAAAGATTTTAAGATATTGGCAAATAAAGAGTACAGTTTCATACTGTTGTGAAGCACTTGGAAAATTATACACGCTATTCTTACATTAAATTGCTTTTGACAGGAACTGGCATGTCTGTCAGCTTTGCTGACCGGTCCTGTAGCCGCCTCTTTGGTTAGTCACTGTGTGAGAACTACAGTATTTATCTGCAATGACCTGCCACATCATATAAACATCCTTGCTGATGCAGAGAGCAAGAAATTTATTTTGTTGAACGAAAGCCCCTAAAAAGGTCCTCATCTCGTAAGTGGAGGATGTAACATTTCTGACCTGTAGCCTTTGACATGTGTCTTCCTTCTAAATACAGCTGGCCTTAAATAGTACGACACATGTTCAGTGTAGGTCAGATCTTGAGATATGCTAAGATGAAATGCTTTCTGTAAAGAAAGAAACAAAAAAGGGGCCATGCCAAATTCATGTACCTTCTAAAAGAGGGACACATCTGTTTTTTGAGTTGTAGTTTTCAGTGTTTTTTTTTTTATCTGGGACTGAGAGAGGGCTGTAAAGGCATGTTAATAGAAAGCCTTTAAAGATCTATATTATGCTTTTTCAAGTGAACTATTGGCATATATCTCATGAAATATTGCCTTTGACAGTACTACGTATTTGTTTTTAAATATTAGTTTTCCTCCAAACCAATAGAAAGATGCCTTTGCTGCAACTCCCCCTGCATGGGTGCCAACCATCTCATGACTTTGCCGAATCACACCCCTGCTGGGAATGTATTCGCTTAAGAAAGGCAAAACAAAGTCCAGGCCCTCTTGCACCCGGGATTTCTTTTTTTTTTTTTACGCACAAACCCCCCCCCCAAAACCCCAAGAGGTGTTAGCTGTAGAGATTAGATGCTAAAAGTACTAAAACGTTAAAGGTATTGTTGAGAATTTTCTCAAATTTTTTAAAAGACCCACCCTCTTCAATCCACTGGACTTTGTTTCCAAGGTTGAAGATGTTTCACTTTCAATCCAGGAAGCTTTTTCAATTCAAAATTCCAGAAACAGCGTTGAGTTTGAGGCTTTTTAGAGTGGACCAAAAACAAAGCTTTGTTCTGGCTTAGAAAACATGCATATTTAACATGGGTAAACGGGTCCCCCCCTTAGGAATGGACAGCTGTTTGGGTCCTTGGTTAGCCTGCACTTCCTGCTACCTGTCTATGTCTCTGAAAGGGGGGTCATTAGGGGGAATTGTTGGCCTGGCTTAACAGGCGCGATGTTCTGTTCCCCTGTATGGGGTGGAGGTTGCGATGATTCCTACCCGCTATAATCACAACCTTCAGCCCCATACAGGGGAACAGAACACCTGTTGTAAAGGTTAGTTTTTTGCAGCATAAAACGGACTAAAACTAGACTAAAACATTTTTAAGTTTTAGCCAACTAAAACCGACTAAAGCTATTACATATTGTAATGACTAACATGCGACTAACACTAATAATAGTTTTCGTCCTGAAGACTTAGACAAAACCTAAGATGGCTGTCAAAAACAACACTGCAGCCAGGTTTGATATTCATTTTCATGTCCCTGTCTCTCTTATGGCTGTGAGTTACAACAATCTAATTAAACACAGCAGTTAATGTTCAGTGAGCACAAAGAGGTTAAAGGGTTAAAACAGGGCAAAAAGATACCCCCAAAGTATTGATTCTTAAACAACAACTATATTGTCAAAATTGTACATTTTTTAATCCATTTTTGTCCTACTAAATCATTGCTAGAATACAAGGATCTTTTTTCCATAAATGAAATTGCTATTTTTTTCTATATATATATAAAGCATTAGCCTCTGCCAACAGGGAAAAGGCTACTGTTATGGTAAGGGAACCAACATATTCTCTTGTGTACCCCTAAAGTGAATACCTTGGCCCGCACAATGACTGAATCACTGAAGGACAATCAGTTTGTCATATAGTTTGGAAACATTGCCACTAAAGAATAATGATGTAATCTCTTTTCTAATCAAACTGTGTTACTTTGAAACAATATGTGGTTTTAACATCTGTCATAAAAGCAAAAAGAAGTATGAGGATACAAGAAATGTACCAGCTCCTTTTAGAGGGCAATGATTTTAACAGAAACTTAGATTTAATTCTAGAGACGTCATCCCGGTGTGACACCAGCTGAGCTGTTAAATATTGCCACCTCTGCTTTTATGGAAAATTTGTATTGATTTTGTCATCACAACATATCAGTAGTGTTGAAAAATGAAGGCACATTTCAGCTCTTCAGATATTGATATTTTTCTTGTTTCTGCTTTGCAGATGTTTAACAAATTGACCAATCCAACAGGTGCAGGTAAGTCATGTTTTTTTTTTTCCTTTCCCTAAGGCTTTATGATGTCATGCAGCTGCTAAGTTGTTAATGATGCCATTGCACTATGCTTAGGAGTCAATCTGAAAGTCTTAATACGTTAATATTTTCCACATCTGTCCCAAGCTGGATGGGCTGTTTGTTCAGGGTAATTGCTCTGCTCCCTGTTTATGCTGGGATAGAAGCTAGTGACTGTGAATGACTGGTTGAGAAAATTATTTTGGGCTACATCATTATAAGAAAGGAATTATTTTTAAATAGAAGGTTGTTGTTGTTTTTTTAGCTACCGTACACCAGTATTTGCATATTTTGTTGATTTCAGTGTGTTGTTTTTCATCACTGTTCACTGGGACTGAATCATCGATCAAATTTTTGCCAATGAGATTTTTAACCAAATCCTTGTGAACAACTGCTAATCAGTAGTATTTAAAGTTTCTTGCAGAAGTGTCTGTGTGCATTTATCACCCTTTCATACGTCACACCTATAAATGTGCATGTACTTACTTTCATGTAACATACTCAACCAAGATGAATTGGCACATGATTTTGAAGTGAAACGTGTGCTATTGAATGAAAAAATAAATCAATACTGAAACTAGTACAAAAAAAACAAAAAACCCGCTCAACTTAAGGTTTATTTTTACACCAATGTCCTGAATAATTTATATTTAGCCTCTAAACTGGATCATTCAAAAATAAATATGCTTTTATCTAAACATTTAATTTTAACATTCATTGTAGCTATGACAGTAATGACTATAAACATTGCCTTTCCTATAAGGTAAACCTTTAGCTGTGTAGTGTCTATATCACGTTTTCTGTAAGGGTTGCCTTATAATTACCGCCAGTTTTCATCTCGCTGCTGAAAAAAACATCCACACAGCATGCCACAGTGTATGGCATGTTCAGACTGATGTGTAGTGATCTATTCTCACCAAAAAATATTTATTTTCTGCATGTTTGCTCTTTCTCCAAAATTGTAACCACCTTTCCATAGTATTTCTTATGACTTTCTTCAACAATAGCCGGGCCAATCAGTTTAGATATAACATTCATCTGTCTCTTTTTAACTTTGCAGCTGTGTCATACTTTTTGAACTTTAAAAAAAAAACTGGGCATGGGTTGATTTCATTTTAATTGAATTAAAAAAAATACTTCACTGATCCCAAAGAGAAATTAAATGTTAAATTAAAGAATACTAGCTCCGTGAGATGTCTATATTTCAGATGTTGTTTTATAACCAAACTTTATTTAAGCTTAACCACAGCTTTCGCCATTACCTGTCTGTTATTCTTTAGTTTAACAATATTGTCTGTAAGTGGTTTATAACTAAATGTTGATGTTGGGCTTATTATAAAACCTTCCCTGCAAGCGGATCCCATCATATGACCTTCCCCGCCTGCTGGCATTGCTCAGACTCTTGACAATCTTAATATAAATGATGGTCACAGGTGTCAGCCCTCTCCCTCCTAGCCAGTGGAATGCCCAAATGCACATTCTTTTATTTTAAAGGCTTTTCATATGGTCCTCGCTCAGAGGGATGCAGTTAAAATTAGGCACTGTGCCAGATCTTTGTTTCTGTTTTGCTAAGGGGAAATATTTGGCCCCCTGTGATGTGGCCCTTGGGGAGCAGCTGTGGGATTTGGCTGGATGCAATTTTAGACTCAGGTTGGGTTCTCACATGACCTCAGTTGTGAAATATTCTGTCAAACAAACAGACTTAGTCATGAATATTTCCATACAGATTTTTTTGAAGCACTTATCAAATATGCCAAGTCTGCCTCTGACTTATAAAGTCTGCAATATGCCAGACTTACAGCTAAAATGATATTCTTTGGGAAAAGAGTGAGGGTTCTGAGAGGTTTATCAACACATCTGTACTTTGAATACTGTTTTGCTTAGTTTCTAATTATTTTAAAACAAATCACAGTGTCAGCTTCATTTACGTTGAAAGTCAAAAGATTCTATATGTGGTTTAAGCTCAAACTGATGATTGAATGATGTGGAGGGATGATATCGTAAAAAGGACAAAGCTGGCATCCAGTCAGACATAATAGGTGTAATATTTTCTGGCTAGATTTAACAGCTGAGCTGTGGAAACCTCTTTTAAGACATGAATACGGGACAGACAGATGGTTCTTACTATTCACTATATAATACTGTCCATCTTGTTAAATTGATATTGTCCATGAGGGAGAAAAACACATTCCTTAAGCTGAATTCCAAACCAGCAAAGCAGCTGCAGGAGAACCAGTGCTGTTTGGGTTTCCAAAATATGCAGTTTTAGCAGCTAGAATTTTTTGTATTGCTATTTAAAAGAATCTTTTAACTTATTTGCAGTCACTTTAAAATGACAATACAGTTATTTGAAAAAGTAATTTTGACAAATTAAAACTATGAACTTCAATGCATCGAATTGGAATCTTATCTTAGAGACCAATACAACGCAGCAAAAGGCTTGGAAACAAAAAACAAACAGTTCAATAGCATGTTTTTTTATCAGCTTTTTTTTTATTTGATAACCCTAAATATAATTCATTAAAACCAATTGGATTTTAAGGCTACCTTATTGGTTTATCCTTGAATGTGTACAATTTACTCTCTGTATAGATGCAATGTTTCTGTACCCCCAAAGTCTAGCAACTGTATATACAGTAAATCACCATTTTTAAAAAGTGTTATACGCTTTTGCGTAATTGAAGGTGAAAAATGTACCCCACAGTTTTCAAATGTGTATTTACGAAAATTAAATAATGAATTATGCTAAATGATGTAGGTATTTCTGTTGGCCCATAGCATGAAATTGTCAAAAACTAAATGAGTCATTTTGGTTGTAATATGGAAAACTGTATAAACTCTCAAGGGAGAGGAATACATTAGAACGCTATAGGCAACATGGTCCAATTAAAAGAATATAGAGTAAATAAATTAAATGAATAAATGCTTTTTATGTAATGTATTAAGTTTTTTTATTAGAATAAAATAAAAGCCAGTTGAGCCAAAACCTCCCAAAATTATCATGTTGCTTTTTTTCTAAAATAAAAAAGAACAAGGTGAAAAACTACACTTATCCTGAGAGAATATATTGTGCACACTATAGAGAAAAAAGTCCAGTTTCAGTCTAAAAGATTTATATTTTAAAGCAACTAGTTTCTGACAAGATTATCTGAGCATCTTTAACTTTTAAACACATGACGAACCAAAAGTATCTGATCTACTCTCACACTGTGAAATTCATCTGAGGAAATATATTCCATGCAGCCACCTTAATTTCAGTGTAGAAATTAATGGCTTCCTCTGGTGATAGGAGGCAATTATGTTCACCCTTGAAAACCGGCTGTCCTGACAGACATTAATCTTAAAATTAATGAAGCTCCAGAGGAATCCTAATGCTATAGTGAAGATCTTTCTTGCAGAGATATGGCACAGATTAAGAACACAGAATCAATTTATGAGTTAACTTAAATGTGAAGGACTTGAGATTTCACAGTAATTTGTTCATAGATAATATTGTGTATTTTAAAAGTGTGTATCACATCAACACTGATATAACAAAATGGAGGTGACAGAGTCCAAAAAGCAGCAGCTGTGCAGAACAGAATGAATTTAAATTTGCATAAATACATGCTCATGCGCTTTGTTATGAAAAGCATCATCATCCCATAGCAAGTCCACAGGGAAATATCACACATGCAGCTTAACCAGCACTCTGTGGCCCAGAACTGTCAGGTTGAGGCTTCCCTCTTGGCCTCTGAGGTTTTTAACCAGGCTCCATGCATTTACACAGATCTTCACTCTGAATAAATATGCTAATTTACTTTCAATGTGGAAATCTCTTGCTGCTGATTGAAAGTAAAACAAAGAGGATACTCTGTGAATCCCTCAGAGACTTCTGTCAGTGAGGAAAGAATTACAAAGCCCTGCCTTCCTCCTACATTAGTGTGAATGGCTCATGAAAGCTGTAAAAACATGGAAAGAGGATGTTTCAACAGTTTGTGTGTAGATTTTATCTTTTAACCTTTTAAAGTAAGTGCGAAATGTCAGCTAGTGGTTGATTACCAAGCATAGCCTCTGTGCTTTTATAAAATAAAATTTCAGGGCTCTCTTATCAATGAAGCCTTTTTGGCTGAAGAGAAAGTTAGCAGTTGAAAACAATGAATCTAAGATGCCTCTGTAAATACTTTTCTCTTTCTTGATAAAATTGGATAAGAGATAAAAAAGTGTATTGGGGTGTGCTGGCTACGTCTTTTTTTCTCTAGTTTGCATTATCTTAAAGCAAGATATACCTTATAATTTGGACCATTTGCTCATCATAATAATGTTGGAGGCTGGATTGTTGATGCATGGTCAGACTAAACTTTTCATCTTCAGTTAAAAGGGCCATTAACAGATATTTTTTGTTACATTTTGACTAAATATTGGTTGCTCCTCTCGCGTGATAAAAAAAAAAAAGAAAAAAAAAAAGAAACAAACAGTTCCTGTTATTTAGATAACCTAAGCGGACTTACAACTAAACCGTTAACCAATGCATTTTGTAAGTTCTACAGTTTTATATTTTCCTATATAAGAACTGCTCTCCCTGTGGACTGAATGCTATGCTGTGACCTTTGTGTACACTATAAATCTCTGGTCCAGCACTAGTGTGTATTACATAATGTCTGTGTCTTAGCTGTGTTGACTTATCTGCATTTTGTCTCCTGCAGGCTTCTCAGCTGTCCTTAAAGTTCAGGGTTTCAGTCTTACGAAGGATCAATGATGGTGGAGGCCCACAGTGACCTCCCACAGCTGCAATCTCTTACAGTCTCTGGCTCTCTAGAGACCCGTTACAGATTTTAATAAATACATCTCCACTGCTCCATGGCAGTCCGCTGATAATGGATGACATTCTGACATCAGAAACTTAATCAAAAAGTAAACAGTAGAAGAGATTTAGTATTGACATCAGCTGCAGATTTCAGTGAGATTCTAAACTCTGCTGCTTCATT